TGATCCGCATTAAAGACAGAAGCAGCTCTATCACCTCAATGGCGATCGCCTCACTCTCATGCCCTTTCGATCATAATTAATAAGTCGTCATTGTCACGGTGACTGCAGCTGTTCTCAAAACAGAGATCGTTTGTATTTCATCCTGTCATATAGTCATATAACCTTGAACTTTAGCTTTGCTTTCAGCAGGGGGATGTCAAGACTGAAGCGATATCTTGACTTATCACGTGTGTGGTACCGAAAGTTAAAATTCCTGTTTTTGTCATAGCGGCGACTAAGCAACGAAGTAAATGAACAATTCTACAGTCGACATAACGACAGCATAAGTCTGCATGTTCTGAAAAGCTTAACATGCCCGTGTTTTAAAACGTCATATAATCATCATTATGGACAATACGATTGGTGAGGAGGATGTTATCTGTTTCCTTTACCAGATATAATCCGCGAGGGGTTTTCCGATTCTTCCATCATCCTCTTCTCAGAAGTTAGACGGCATGAAAAAAGGAAGCACCACCATAGATTTCTTGAGAATCAATTCGGACAGTTATTCTACCTCCACCCCACCCAGTTTTTTGTCTTGCCTCGGGGTAATATAACATCAGAAACATCGTCCATTGAGATTAGTTAGCGCGTGCATAAACTCAGATTTACCTATTTCGCTGTAAACTTATTCAAAACGGATGGACTAATCACAGGTGGAAAGAAAATCGATCCATAATCCATACTTTATACTTACCGGCAGACCTTCTATTTCATGTTCATAACAGAAAAGACATTCGCTAAGAGGCCTATTCAAAGAACAAAGCTTCGCGTTCATTATCATGTCTGGTTATGTAACGCAAAAACCAAAACCACAGTCTGAACCAAATCACTAAGCCAATATACTAAAAGGCAACAAATGGAATGTTCTGACCTCAAGGTGTTGGACGATTCCATTCAATCAAGCGGGTAATTTCCTAGGTGCAGACATATCTTTCCTTCAGGTAAATATGAGGGCAAGAAGCGATTGGTGATTGCGTGAGCATAATGTAATTGGAATAACAAAAGAGAGGCAAGAGATACTGTCATCTTCTCGGTTCATTTGGCACTTTCTTCATACATTAGAAAGGTATCATTCGTAGCTAGGGAACTATTTCACTCGGAAAAGCAAGATAAATAAATTTGCTTCTGCTTTTAGAATCACACACTAAAATCGCTCTCAATGCTTCTCACCCTTATTGATCTGTGGCTTGAAACGAGCATTGTCACTCAGGTGTGCCTGAAGAGAACGGATTTCTCCTCCAGAAGAGTCGAACCTCCGGCAATCTAATTTCTAAGGCATTGTGTAATGCACCCATTTTGAAGGACATTCCTCCAGTTATACGAATTTGTCTTTAATCGGCAAAGACCCGTCAATGCTTGGTATTTTGATATGGGAATCTCTACACATCTTGGCGATGAGATATCGCATGTATAATAAATACTTCTCTTCTTTTGTGATCAGTGAGGGCCAAGTGGCTGTGATATACTTGACGAAAATTTGGAATGAAAAGTGAGTGGTTGATATTAAGCACTAAACCACCAATTATGAATATAACAGTCAAGATCAAGTGACAGTATGCCACAAAATTTAAATCGAGGTACCTCTGGGTGTATGGCGTCTTGTTACCTGACAATCAGCTGTATCCTGACGATGCTACGCATGCATAGCGGAACTCGTTGGTAATGCGATGCTAATATCTTTTTGGAGCTATCAGCCGTGAATCTGCAATGGGATTCCCATTTTTGAATAAAATCTAGAAAGAAAGGAACTCTAATTCCTGAGTGTTGCGTTTGACAAGATTTTCGTGAAATCCTACGTCAATATTTCCTCATCCCTAGGTACATCAGTCGAATGCAAAGGCATTTCCCCAGGGGTCGACCCGAACGAGTTGTTTATGTCACATTTGCACGTTTTTCACAACTGGCAGAATGCTTCCTTCTTCAGAACCGCTTTAATTCGAAAGAATGAAAGACGCGAGGCTTGAAACCTGTTTAAACGGATTCAGCTTTCCCAACAGGAAGGCAAACCTGATATCTGATTGATCTGATTTAATCGATTCTCTCGGACTGGTTATCCTGGCATTGGTGGCGGCTAAATCGATTTTTTGGCCAATAAAGAACATCGTCAAGAAAAATTGCATATCCACCTAACGCGTGGCGTTTCTTCAACAGACTCTGCCTGATCGCTTGAATCTGAACGAAACAGGAACACCGTTCAAACCGAAAGAATGCTTACCCAAAACGGACCCTGGCAAAACCACTCGATGGACTCCATGTTGAGGAGTGTGAAACGAGGCTGTCAACTCGGGACTTGGATTTGATCACGGTTGCAATCGACGACGACCTAATTCGTCACTGGTTACTAAAAGAAGATGAGTCAGCAAATGGACGACCATCGAGACCGACGAGGAGCTCGCCACTGGCAGGCAAAGAACCGGGACCAAATCTGGGTCAGTGCTGTTGAAAAGGCTGAAGCCGGAAAACGCTCGCCCGCCAACGGTGCACTCGACGTTGTGACTAAACCAAGCTTTGATCGGGTTGGTGATCATTTGTCACACCAGCTAAGCGACATAAGCATCGTAAACAAGATAGGCAGTTGCTTTGCACCCGTCTTTGTTCAATCTGTCACACTGAAGCGGCCACCGTACTTTCTGATAACTGGTTTTCATAGGCGTGACAGTAACGTGAAGTCTGACTGCGACAAAAAACTGCCTGTTATATGTGCGGGGGCTAGTCGTTTTTTAGAGTGACTTGTAAAACAGCGATTTTCCGGTTCCCGTCCAACTCAAAAACGGATTAGGTGCTTATTGCTGTCGCATTTGGCATCGTGACATAGTAAGACGATAAGATGAATTACTTCGTTAACTACGTATCCCAACGTTTCGATTAGTTCGCCGAATACTTGAATACCTGATGCACAAATCGCAGTTTGCCTACTTATCACTCATATTCGATCCAACCTAAACTTTCATTGGTGCTACCCGTGCCGTCTTCGGACTCGATCTTATAAATCATCCTCAGACGAGGAAAAACATATTCTATTTTTGTTTCCGTTTCTTTTATGGAAAAATTGCTCATTATCGTTAAATGAGTCCGGATGCTTTTTGAATTTACTTAGCGATGACAGACATGGGCATTTTTTACGCACCATAGTTTGTAACCAGGTGCCTATGTGTTGCAGGACTGGCGCAAATGTGATCCAATGAAAATCAGTATAGGCAGCATACCTTGGCTAAGATAAACACTATTCATCTTTCCTCATCATCAGTGAGTAAAGTGTGCCGACTTAATTTTTTTCATCCAGGCTTGTGGTCAGATTTTCTTTCGCTTTAACAGGGTTACATTCAGGGCACTTAAAAATTTGTGAACCTTGCAAATTGTAAAGTGTCTTACAGTTAATCGCCGGTTTCAGGCTCACGACATGTCTTCTCGAATATCTTGGAAACTTAAAAAATACAAAGTCGAGAGTACAGACAGACCCATACTTATATAAATTATCCTGAAAGGATTGCAAAAAAAATTCTGAATTATAAAAAATTTTGTTTCATGCGCCTGCGTTACTCACTCGACACTTTACAACGGTGTTCCTCAAGGCAGACAGCCCGCACAGGGCAAGCGTCCGTCCTCCTCAGTCTAGCTTTGTTTAATATTGACAACAACGTATTGTGTATTTCTATTCAGACACTTTAAGAGCAGAATGTGCTGTGGTGGACTACAACCAGGATATATGAAACAAAGAAAGATGCCACTCTTCAGGTATCTGCTGATAGATTCACAAGGAAGATCGTACTGAAAAATGACATGATATTTTATTTTTCATTACATTTTATGTTGCATTATTTTACATTACATCAATAATTGAGCATTAAATCAAATTAGCGCCTACACTCCACGAATGAAACTACCCGAAATAGCCTTTCAAAAATGTACATGTACTACTGTATTTAAGTACCGTTAGCACGTAGGCTACATTGGGAGATTATCGAGGGAACTTATACTCGATTCACCCAAAATTCGTTTACTTAAAGGTTTGCTGAACGTAAATCACACATAAGTCTAGGCCTGTATGAACCTAGTCTTGGGTTGCAATCTCCTCATTCCTTCTCACTCGTCCAAAACTCAAACGCTAAATTGCTTTACTTCACAGCTTGGTGGCAATAGAGATTGGAAATCACCAAACGGGTTAAAAATGACGAAAATTCGTAAAAACGCCATAATCGAAATTCTAACAACGCCACACATGTGTACTCAACCTACCCCGTTTGGCACTGGAATAATTTGGCTTGAACGTCGAATTTTTTTTCTCGCGAAATTTCGACTACCACAGGTCCTACCGCTCATGTACAAACCTCCGAAAAGTGCATGTGGCGCATTTCGTCATTCCACTGTCAGTTTATGTTTAAAATGCAATGGTACACGGCTGAAGTTGCAGATGACGCAAAATTTCCAAGTCCTATATTTTACAGGGTTAGGTTTTTAACCCTGTACCATATATCAGTTTATGGGTAGAAAGCGCGCGATTTGCTTGTAACGAGAATTATGGTTCAGGGTTAAAATGACGAAAATTCGTAAAAACGCCAAAATCGAAATTCTAACAACGCCACACATGTGTACTAAACCTATCCCGTTTGGCACTGGAATAATTTGGCTTGAATGTCGAATTTTTTTTTCTCCCGAAATTTCGACCACCACAGGTCCGATATTTTACAGGGTTAGCTTTTTAACCCATAGTTTTAACCCACGATGTAGGCAGCAAATGGTAAAGCAGCAAGACATCCATTTCCATGCTACGTTGGCCAATCTTTGTCGCCTTGTTCGTGCAATTGCTGATCATTCTCACCCATTACAATACTTACATATCGTTTTCCTTAGACACCAGCGGTTTCATCTCATAATATGGCACAACGTGGGAATTTTCGCACATGAGTTCCATCTGGGCTTTCAACAAACAAATAGTAATCAGAAACAGGAATATGCTCAGTGGAATAATACCAAGTTTAATAAGCATGTAAATTTCGCTACTTTGGAGAGAAGCATTTCTGTGCTCCTGATATTCTTAATGACGAAGAACATGGCTTCCTGCCAAATATCTGAAGCTTTAAAATGTATTGCCCAACACAGGTGGAACTAGCTTAATGTTTGCATCGATACATCTTTCAGCAACAGTACAAAAACACGGGTTCTGTGTCGCAAAAACTGGAAACAGCAAAAGCAGTGACATCGCGATAAATATTTTTCTGCCAGCCTGGAGCAGGCGGCGAGTCAAGCAATGGGGCAAATCCCACTCATCGAATCGTTTCAAATCCAGTATGCTAGCTGCTTTTCAACAAAGCAATTTTTTCTACTGCCAGACTGAAATTAGCCTGAATACCGAAAAACCTTAACCAGTTGTTATTATTACGAAACTTGATGTAGGTCTTCTGCATTTTTGGCATGCTTAGCACTATGCTTGCAAACTGTTTGCAAAGTTTAATAAATGTGACAGTTTTCACATTTGAAAGACAAAACCTGATTGCATTGCAATAATAGTTTTTTTGGAATCACAGGTAGGGCAACTTTAAAATTCATTATAACATGTTTGGAATAACTAGCTGTTGCAAAAATCTTTTTTGCACTCTACTGGTCAAAGGCGTATTGGACGCAAGGTTGTTAGTTGTCGGTAATATTCAAATAAAGAAATATTAAAACAACATTTAATATGCCCATAAAACTATGCCTAACGTAATTCTAATGAAATTATAATGTTTTCCTGACGACTTGGACTTGGTAGAAACAGGCTTGCATAGAGATGGATTGAACGAATAGAGTCATGCACTCCATCCCGTATTCCTGCAAATACATTAAACTGTTTGCGCAAATTTTGACGACATGTCTGCGCTAACTTCTTCCCTAGCTGCCTGTTACGCACATATAGATGTAACTTCCATTTTGCCGGTCCAAAGCCCGGATCAGAAAGAAGGAGAGTTGGAGACCGTGGAGAAAATTCTTTAAAACTTAGCCATCTGCCTCTCATGGCGTTGAGATCATCGAATATTATACCGCGCACGCTGTTAGACGACTGAAGTAGCTGCAAACAGTCGGCCATCAGAGGCTGCTCATCTGCTTCTGGCAGGAGGGGGCATAGCAGCAAAACAACCACTGACGAAGATCAACCGAACGAGGCAAAGATACCAATCAGCCGTTCCGAACGGTGGAGACAGACGGCGCGATGTCAATATAACATGTCAGGAACGGCTCCACGAGAATGACACCGCCAGTTGGAGCTTGCAGTCAGAAAGTGGAATATATCCTCACTCAGACGGAAAGTGCAAGAGCTTATTGATCAGGCCATAAGGTATCAACAAGACACAGTTGGACTCTCATCAACGAAGCGCCAAGACATTGGAATCCTCAGCCTCTCAGGTGGAAGCTATTCTACTCAAGTGTCAATATCACGAGTCGCGCTCAGGCCGGTGTTGGTGTTGTGGTAGAACCTAACCTGGCTGATAGAATTATTGCATCGAACTCTGTCAGAGAAGAGTGGCAATCCTACGAATGATGCAACAACAAGTTAACAGCTTGAACTTCTAACAGATCCATGACCCAGTTAGGAGGGAAAATAGAACTCCTTCATTGGGAAAGTTGAGTGTGCTTTGGATGACGTGCAGAATACGGAATCCCTCACTGTCATGGGTGATATTTATGCGCATATCGGAGTCGATGCTGAAAAATGAAAAGATGTGACTGGAAAAAGCAGCCCTAGTCACCTCAACGACGAGGTGTTACGACTTCAGGCAAAGAAGGACTCAACATCAACAAATTTTCGGACATCAGTGCACTTCATATGGAGAAGCTTGTGCACGGAAGTCGATGATCGATTTGATAATTGTATGGTCTGATTTAAGACGACGCGTAATGAATGCTCGCGTTTAAAGAGATGCAGAGCTTTCAACCGATCATCACCTTGTCGTTGGCACGCTCCGCTGTAAGAAATGTAGTACCATACGAAAATCCGGTGGCAGAAGCAACCGGAAAATCAAATGGGAAACATTTTCTTCGGTGGACACAACATCGCACGACGGTTTGAACACATCCCAGCGATGACTGCTGATGTTGAAACCGAGTGGCAGCTGCTTAAAAGAGGCCTACTAGAGGCTGCCGCCGAGTGCTGCGCATATTGACCGGTTGGTCTGCCGCCTGGAGGTCAGCAAAGATCTTCATGGTGGACACGAGAGGCACAACTGACAGTTAAAGAGAAAAAAGGAGCGTTCAAGAAATGGCTTGGAAACAAGGAGCCACCTACACATGTACGATATGTCCAGGCACGCAAGGCGGCAGCCATAGCAGTGGCAAAAGCCAAGACTGATTCCTGGGAGAAGTTCAGTGAGGT